TTCGAGCGTTTTGAGTCTTTTCCATGCGTGCATTGTGCTCGTCGGACGCAACGATTGCCACTTGCTGACAAGGAACACTCAGCGAGGACACTCATGCGTTTGTTTGCTTTTTGCATAAGTACGATGTTTTTGAACACAGAAAGAGCGGCAGCGGTTTCTTGCGCCAGCGAGCGATGACGCCTTAACATATAGATATGATTGAGAGGGTGTGATCTGATCTGAGGCGATCGATCAATCGCACGATGCAAAAAGCCAAGAGGATAATAACGAAGAAGAACAGAATCGTCATATCTACCTGGCAGGCTCATGAACGAGCTGTACTTTGAGGAGGACGAGGCGCCCCTTTTGACCAAATTAGCACCCATTGCCTATGCACTCCGTTCTTCAAAGCCAAGCACCGATGGGCAGCGTTGTTTTAGCGACCAATGCTCGACGCCCGATCGACCTGGCACTTGATTAATCAATCTGACGTCACTCGGATTAAGACTCGCGTCGTTCACCCTCGCTGCCAATCACCGACAGATGGAACGAATCACCGAACGATCAGGACGACGATGGCGCACTACTAGTGTCGATTAGCCAACGGAGCGGAGTGGCAATGGAACTTGCTGGACGAGGAACGAGGAGGAATGGTGGCGGCGGTTGCCGCCGCTCGTCCGCGCTCTTCACTCAAGGCTCATGGCTTAGCGCTCATCCGTGCTAGTCTTCGACGTAGAATCGCAGAGTAGAACGGAGTGATGATCGACGACAGCGGATCAGCTGCTGGGCGAAGAGACGACGAGAGACCAGTTTCGTTCATCAGGATGCCTGGTTCGGTTCGGCTCGGTGGCACGGCTGACGAAGGGTGGTGTCGCAAATCGTGGAGCGGCGCAGAGAACACGTCCACCGTCCACCGTCCATCGTTGGCCGTCTTGCGACAATCGCCCAGAAACGACCAGAGGTCGAATGGCCAAATGGACAGGTGGACGGCAGCAGCTGACCGATAGCCGCTGCTCATAAGCGAGTCTACACTTTACTTGTGCCATTTTTAGTTATCGCAGGTTCTTGCCGAATTGCCTTCTGGCGGTGTGTTAACGCGAAGCTTGTTCTTCTAGAGCTACAAGGCGAATGATGGCTTGTTCGCCGAGTCATTCGCTGTGCTAAACTAAACACTTCCGTGCTGGCGAACAATGACTAAGTCTATCAACGCCATTTGGAAACCTTTTGCCAGACTGAGGTCGTTTACAGGTTTCGTTGAATCTCGTTTGGCTTCACTCATCTGGCTATCGGTAATTCACAAATTACACCAATGCTTTATTTATGCATTAGGTAGAGCTGTCATAGACGACAT